CGAATGTTCTTGGATGAGGAGTTATCATTATGTATTTACTATTGTCCTTATATTTGTTATTATTATTATCACAATGTTTCGACCCGTGCACCCTGCCGTATGTCGATCCAGAGAATTTCGGCAACAGATTGTTCTCGATCCACTGCTTATTATGTCTTCGGATATCCCCATTGTTCTTATATTAGTACCACTCAGTTATTGCTCGCACCGTTTCCATTGAATCCAAGTACACTTCCAGGAATTGAATTCACAATTACTATGTCACTAGATTCAAAAACCAACGCTTTAATCCACTGAACTATTGTCCGTGTTGTAACAAGTTTGACAATTCTCTATGGAGAATTTGGAGCCTTAAGTTTAACCTGCCTGATGAATGATTTTTCTTAATAAAATCTAATTATTTAATTAGAAAAAATATTTAGGATTCATTAATAGAGACTAATCGTTAACAAAAGAAATTAAATCATTTATCTAATTAAATTGCTAACAAATGTGTAGCGGACCGTGGCTTTACGTGTTGTTAAATTAGGAACACGTTTGTAACTCTTGATAGAAGAGAGTTCACTACAAGAATATGGCGGACTCAGAGATTGAATCCACCATAAAGAAATGTAAAGAATATGGCGGACTCAGAGATTAAGTCTACCATAAAGAAATGTAAAGAAAATAAACAAGACCGATATATATACAGTAGCGAGCATAAAGATCAGAACGATGTTAAGAAAAAGTCTAAATGTTAAATAACTTTTTTATTTTAAAGCTTCATACAACATTTTATCAAGGAAAAATAAGGATATAAAGGTAAATTATATAATTCCAAAATATAAAGCTCAATAAACTTATTTTGATAAAGTTATAAGAATAATTATATAACATTCGAAAAAAATAGATTATTGCATTTAATTATATGTATTAAACAACAAAATTTACAATGGACGAAGACATCATCATTTGTGTTTGTGCGTGAACGTAAAGGATTTGTATTTTGATGAATGTTAGGTTCGTGTGTGTGTGTGTGTGTGTGTGTGTGTGTGTGTGTGTGTGTGTGTGTGTGTGTGTGTGTGTGTGTGTGTGTGTTTCATGGCGTTTTCCCACAAGTGGGCAAAACGCAGATCTCTGCGAAAGATCACATTTTTTTAAATGTATCCGCTGAAATGCAAAGTAAAAAGAGAACGAGGCAAGAAATCGCCCAGTATTTATAGTGTAGGGAGAACGTACCCTAGTGAACAGTTAGGAAATTAAGGAATTAACTCCGACAAGGGAAATTAACTATGGTTTCTTTATATATTTTCTAGTTAACCGAGCAACTGGCTTGAAGATCATTGATCCAGGTAAGACTGCCTATGTGCATCAATCATTGTTCAGGCACATTTTGGGATATTTTAATAATTCTTCTCCGAAGTGTAGATTATATCCATGTTCTTGGAAAAAGATTACAACTTATCTATTTATATCTGTCTATATTTCTGAGATTAGATATTGTAACTATTTACCCTATTTACATTGTTCGAACTGTTGTCTTCGTTTTTACTGCTAATATTTAAAATTAATATTGTTATTTATTATTAATATATTAAATTAATTTATATAATAAATTATAATCTTTATATAAATTTCCTTTCCTTCTCAGATTTTATTCAACTTTTACAATCAAAACATCCGGTAGAATAAAAGAGACGCTAACTTGCATCGCTTGATCTCGTTTTCTGCTAGTTTAAGGGTTTTTTCTATTTTTAGTATTTAAATATGGCGTAGATTTCTGTAGAAATTCCAATTCTTGGTTGTAAGAACCATTTCAAAGTGAAATTGCTCTATGGATCACTAAAAAAAATATTTCTGTGGACCCCCAATTTCTATTTTTGTGTGGTTCCCGGTAAAGAAATACTGAAATAAATAAATGATGTAATTTTTTTTTTTTTTTAATTTTAGTTCTACAAGCGGAATCTCTGTTTCATGATTCATAAATTGTAAGTAAACAAAAATTGTTTTCTCTATGCTCTATGTTGCTATAAATGATAAAAGTCATTGACTGGATTAGAACGCGGAACTAAATGATGTTGATGATATCTAAATAAGTTCATTGATTGAATAAATTCAAACATCAAAAATGCAAATTCTGCCATGAAATAATTTATCTTAAAATAAATCTGGCTCGATTAATTTCATGATTTCTAAACTAATAACAACTAAGAGCAAAAACTTATCTAAGAACTTGCTCGGACAAAATGATTTCTCTTATGACAGCTTCATCGTTGCTAATATCTGAGGTATATATATATATATTCATCTTATTCAAAATTCAAACCCTCTTTAATCTTCTAACTTTCTGTCCTTAGTGACAAGGGTGCCTTACACGTTTCGCATACGGTTTCATTTTCAAGTCTTGTTGCACTGCTCTTTCGACTTTCTAGCTGAAACTACTCTCTCACGTAAAAAAACATCTTATGGATTGAGTTGAATCTTTTCTAAGTTGAAATGATGACTCCTCTTCCTGTTGTGACCTCCTGATCCAGTTTTCCTTTCTAGTGTTCCCTCTTTAAAAATTATTCACCGTTCTTTTGATGGTTCTTGAATGGACTTTGAAGATGGAAGCCAGTGCATGAATATTAGTACCATTACTGAAGGCCTGAATGATCTTTTTCCTATCACCATTGCTCATTTGGGAAGACAGTGGGACTGACACAAAATGATTTTAACTTGTTCACTTTCTAGCTGAATAATTCAAAGGCTATTTCATTGATTCTTACGACAAATAGTGTCAAGATGGCTAAACGTCTTATCTGAAAATCTGGAAAAAAGAAATTCAATTAGTTTAGTGTTTTTTAGATATTAAACATTTTGTGGGATGGACAATTATGTTTTTACACCCGGTATGTATGTATGTATATATATATATATATATATATATATATATATATATATATTTATATATAATACTTTATATATATATATAAGTACTATTCGGTTTTGCTTGATCGGCACTGCCCTCTGTGGCCGAGTCGGTCTATAGCCCGTCGGATCTAACAACGGTTTCTCCTGCAAACGGGGACACAATTTTGAATCCAAAAGGCGCATATTTTTTTTAATAAGGTTTCTTGATTTCCGTTAGACGAAACTAAATAAATATAGTATTTAAAAAGTAAACGAAGCGTCTGTTCAAATATAGGTATCCAATCGAATTAACGTTTTAAGTGATATATGTATATATTAAGGGTTTGGTAATCCGTGTGGATATTTCCAAAGAGAATGTGATCCAGGGAGATCAATGTAATACCAAGGCAAATATTAATTAAATAATTAAGGAAGTGACAACCTTAAGTTTCCCTGACTATAATTTATTTCTCCAGAAATATATATGAGATGTGACCTGATGAACCAGGAAAAATATTTTTTCTGGGAAAATAAATTATAGTCATGGAACCTCAGGTTGTCTCTTTCTTAATTATATATATATATATATATATATATATATATATATATATATATAGTACAGGTAATCGATTCGTTGGTATATAATCCAGATGGATCATAGTAATAGTAATTATTAAAACTGATCCACAGAGAGCTCGATGTATTTATATTTATACATATTTTTATTTATTTTATTTAGAGCATATATATTGAGGTAATGTTGAAGTAATTTTTGTTGTATATATATATATATATATATATATATATATATATATATATATATATATATATATATATTAAATGCTTTAAATATTAAATAAAACCGATTTGGTCCAGTAAGAAATCCCCTTCGAAATCGTAAGCTCCGTAAATATCAAAAGTTTCAAATGCATTTACATAAAAAAGGAACATCTGTGCACTTAGTTATTCTTTATTTAATTTTCTTTTTATAAGATGAATTAATATCTCGACTGAAAATATTTTCAGAATTTCACATATACTGAGAACAAATTTACCGGGTTCAAGGGGGATAACTGATGTTTTATTTTGAAGTGATTAAGACACTTAAGATATTCGCTTAAAAATAAGTTTGGTTGGTACCCCCACCCTTTAATCCATTGACGTAAAAAAAAAAAATGATGACTGAAAGTGGAGGTCATTTTATGAGTTTGTTGCGCAATTTTCGAATTTACAGTCTAACGTTGCACCAGCAGCGTTATTGGTCATATTATTTAACTAGGTTAGCTTAGGACAAAGACAGTAACGGCCCACCTATTGAGGATCGAAATCATTACATTTAAAAATTGATCTGCGAGACGAACATACTGTTACTTGGCACCAGGCTCCGGCCCTGTGCTGTTAGTATCTCGGCTATGACTAGCTTAGACCAGCTCTGACCAGCTTGGACAAACTATGACCAGCTAAGACCAGCTAAAATCAGAAGGAATTTTATGTTAGATTGCGTGAACTTTTCTACATCCACAAATAAACAATTTCAATGTAAACAAGACAAAATGCAATTCAAAATCGATAAATGTATTTATATACAAATAAAATAATATGTACAGAATATTTTGAAGATGTTATTGTGTTGGTGTGCTTGTGATATTTGTAGTTTTTATGTCCTTTTTTATGTCTTGTGTATCTGTGTTACAGTCTTTTTAGGAAATTGTAATTAGTATTTAGAATGTCGATATTATGTTTTTAGAAATGAGTCATTACGAAGTAGTCTACCTTGGACTGTAAATGTTGAGTTCGTTCGCTGATGTTATTTACTTAGAATAGTAGTGAGTGTTAATTCACTTTAAATAAGTAAAGTTGTTCGGATAGAAGTTTCGGTGTTCACAGAGTTTTCTTCGATTTAGGCTTGCGAGTGAGTCAGTAATGATTTAGTTTGCGCGGAAAGATTGCAGCTGCAAGCGACGTGGATTATATTAGTATATCTCTGTGCTCGTTCGACTGACTGCTTTATCGTAGATGATCAAAGAGAATGTATAGTTTGAGATTCTTGAGTGACGAAAAAGTTCGTAGAAGATATTGGAACGGGAAAGATTTGTCGTCTCGATTCGCGAGACGGTGAATTGTAGTCGTCACATTTTTAAGCTTGAGTAAGCGGTCGAAAAATGGTCTGCTGCTGATCTGCCCAGGTCTGCGTCTCTGTCTGCCTCTCCCTGGTCACACGTGCTTTGGGTTCTTTTTAAGAGGTCATAATCGCGTGGGTAGATCCAGAGCGATTTTGCGCCAAAACTTCGAAGTGCACGTGCGGGCGACCTGATTGTTAGAAATGAACCAATCAGAGGGCTAGATTTACGAATGAAAGTTGGAATAGTGCATTACTCGAAGAAGGTAAGATTGGGCTAATGGACGAGCCCAATAAGACCAGAAGCCCGAGTGTTTTCACTCGGGTTCCTCACGTTAAAAACTGACCTTGTGTCACATCCTGACTCAGTGGGGTGTCAAATAAATATCCATACTGTTGTCCTATGGTGTGCACCACGAGTAGTTCTACTGGGTGATTTTCTAATCTTTTGCTGTCAGACATTTTTGTTCAAGTCTTGGTGTATATACAGGTGGTGAAATGAACAGCGGTTTACGATGAATAATCGAAGTGCCGAGTTCGAATTTCAGCCAAATTCGTTACATTCACTTACGCGCAAATAGCCCTCTCCTTTTTCTCCTCCAGCTATGGGTTAAATTGTAACTGGACTTGTCATTTTTTTTTTTTTTTTAGATAATAATGGTTTAATGTTAAAGTCTTACTAATTAACCCATATTAAAGGGGAGAAGAGGTGGATTTATACTTTTCCCAGGGGTATTTGCACGTAAGTGAAAATATCGAACCCAACGGGTATTTGAACTCGGCTCTCCGATTAACGATTCCGAGCCATTATCCATTACACCACCTGCACATCCAAGCTTAGAGCAGCTGTTGTTTTCAAGCGGTCACTCATCTACGAACTGACCAGGCTTGATGTCCCTTAACTTCGGTGATCGTACGGCAACTGGTGTTTCAACATGATGTGGCCGTAAGCTCTTCGGCTTTAAATAACCCACAAAGGGTTGATAAGCCGTAAAAATAAATCAATGAATCAAGCATAACTTGATAAAACTAAGAATAAAACTTGTTTGTGGGGATGCCTGCAAGCATACACATACACACGCGTACAAGTCTGCAGAAAAGTTGATTTCATTTCCAGAATCCAGTATTCATTTTATTAATTATTAATATTAATATTAATAACTATTAAATATCTATAGATATATATTGTAGAATTTAAGTATTATCGGAAAATCTTTATTCCTTGATTAAAATTCGAGTCTTGGAGAAACGTGTCTATTAAATTAATCCCATATTTAAATAATTCGATAAATTACGTATATGTATTCCGATAATAACGTCTATCTGATGGATGCTAACGATTTGAAAATAAATATGACGTGGGTGCGTACGAGATCAGCAAAGGAAAAGGGAAAAGAATAACAACATGCAATTGATCGGAAAAGAAGAAGAAAGGGTTAAAGTCAAAATAACAACTTTATTGACGAGATTTAAATCGCCTATGGCGACAACTTGAGAGTTTACACTACAGTAACTTAAACGAAGACACGATTAAAGAAAATTGGTATGAACACAATGTTCGAGAGCCATTTAAGGTAAGTCACTGTTAAAATGGTTATGATGAATGAAGTCTGTGATATGACTGAAAGAGGAAGTGGTAGGAAGTGAAAATTATGAGGATAGATAACGATTGACCCATGACTTCAAGAGCTTAAAATTGTAGTTTTCAGAGAAGCACTCACGCGGGAGTCTGTTGCACAAAGTAGTAGTTCTTTGGGGAAAAGTTGTCTGGGTGAAACTTTCTACTTACGTTTGGGATATGGAGGAAATAAAAGTCATTCGATTCCGTGAAAATAGCATGATGTGTCCAAGCTGTAAAGGTCTGAACTGATGGAAGTAGAGAATGGTGCTCATCTGAACATTTTCTGTGGAAATTGTGACTGTGAGGAAACAGGATTCAGCGTGGAAAATAAGCTATCGACTACAAGAACGCGTAAATAATTTTTGCTTCTATCAGGACTGGAAATTGTGGATTGACCAGCCTGTGTATATACTTTTTTTATTTTTTTTGCCTAATTTCACTCTCGTCTTCTTGGAACGATATAATTTTTAACAATGGATCATATATAGGAATTCTACTTAAGGTTTAAGACTAAAAGTCTAGATACCACAGAGCAAGGTTTATCAGAACAATTACCATGAAAGTATAGAAAAAACACAGCTACGTTATGGCGGTGGGAAACTGACTGAAGGCAAAATGCCAGGTTAGGATCAATCACATTGCAGATTCTTCTTTGGTTTTTATCAAGAATATTCAAATATGTAGCAGGAGCACCAAATGTGACAACCTTATTCAAAGCATGGATAAATGGTAGACATAAATATGCAAGATAGATTCAGGCGAGAATAACTATCTAGCATGACACAGGGAATCAATTTTTCTAGCATCAAACCTAGCAATTAATTTCACTTTCATGACAGCAGAGGAAAATGTTATGTCCGAGTAAACGCAATGAATCACTCTCCTGGGGGGGGGGAGTGGTAGAATCAGCCCTACTGATGGAAGATAAAAAGGATTCTCTCGGCCGATTAATAGAGAGCACTTTCGTTTTGGGGCCATTAAAATTAACAAGTCAATTAAATTAATAACGTTTATGTTATCTAGACTTTATGAATAAACGCAGTACTAGATTGACAACATTTTACAGTTGAATTAGTTAGATGTAATTGTAACTTCATTACTAACAGTTTCTTTTCTTGCACTTCTCGCTTGTGGAACTCTCTTCCGGCCTCTTACTTTCCAGTCAAGTTTGATCTTCAAAAATTTTAAATCAATGTCAATCGTTATATTCTGTCTTCTTAATTCCTGTTCTTTTATTGTTCTCTCTCCTTAATAGTGTTTTTATTCTGATATTCTCTCAAACTCAATAACCTCTTTCGTTTTAGTGCCTTTATTGCCTTGCTAGAGGGAAAATGATTTTTAAAAAGTCAAGACTACAAGTAGAGATCGCACGATCACTAATCCCCTAATCCCAAGGGTCGTAAGGGGTATCTGTTGGGATCGCTATGAGTTTGAATTTGTTATCAGAAGGGTTTTATATTAAGATGGTTAGTTTACGGGCATGTTCACCATATTAATCCGCAACAATATAGAATATAGACATTCAAAAACGAATCAATCACAAGACAATTGAGTAAGAAACACCGATTATGAGATTTCAATAAAACAACATGCATTTATGTACAATTAATATATAATTTGAAAACTTGTAGTTTGATAATGCAAGAAATTAACCATTGATAAATTGGGTTTCTTATTGATTTACAGTTCGAAATTGTTCAAGTATTTAAGAACTGGTCAAACAGAGTTAAGTGGAAAATATTATTTATACAGAAATTTGTGTAGTTTGTATGCGTGAATAAAGTAGGGTTTAATTGTCTAAATTCTCCAGAGTGGTTTACCTTGGATTGTTTAGATATTTGATTGAATATTTACGAATACTTGTTAGTAGTGAGTTATTATCACTTTTTAGTATTATAAGAAATTGTTCCTGGTAGAGAGAAATGCTGCGTGTGTTGAGTCAGAGAAATTTGTGCGGCAAAAATGTAGCTGGTTATGATTTTGACTGGCGTGGATTCGTTTGGCACTTCTCCAGGATGAAATTCTGACTGCCTTGAAGCGATCTGAACGCTTCCTTTTATTTAGTTCTGGAAGTAGGAATCGGCTCAAAACGGCTAAGCGCGAAAAGATATTTTCGCGTGAATTTGCTACAGTTTGAGACAATGAAAAGTCTAGTTCACAGGAACTAGGATGTTGATTGGTTAATAGGTAATTTTGTGGTAGAGTGTATTATTCCGGAGAGGTGAAAAGGTATGTATGGACTATTCCATCATATCTACTGCAGTCATAGCAACAGTGGGGTTTCTGGGCAGTACAGCATAATGGATCCCAACCCTCCCCAGGCTGTACTGAATCCAGAGTTTTCTTTCTCCTAGACTGGTTGCCAACTAATGCTATAAAGAAGAACACTCAGTAAAGACCAAACTAGTTACATTAGTAACGATCTGTAAGGTTAGCTAACAAAATCGCTACCATTCAAAACATACTAAGATAAAAAATGAATAGTTTTTTATAAATTCAAGTCATTACGGGATTCAAATGACCAGGCTAGTTTCAACAAAAAGAAAATTTGCTCCCGGTTGATATATATATATATATATATATATATATATATATATATGTGTGTGTGTGTGTGTGTGTGTGTGTGTGTGTGTGTGTGTATATTCACTCAATCGTGATTTCAAGACCTAAAAACATTCAACCAATTATAATTAAAACTCATAACCCGATAAAATGTCCTGACACAAAAAGAAAATAATTACGCTCGAGGGAAATGATTCTGAGCTTCACTAAATTATAAAAATTAAAATATATCAGCCGATACCAGTCACCCACATAAATTAGATCGTTGATCTTTGATGTCAATAAATATTTATTTTATTGCACCATGAATCCGACTAACAGAGAATACTCAGCAAAACTTTCACTAAGTCTTCAATACCAGCAAAAAAATGTCAAGTTGAAAGTTTGCGGCTATTTTTCTTTTCAAAAATGTATCATCTTACATGTCTTTTCCAAGGATAAACTCCGTTCGTATCCGCACAAATCCAAAGTAAATTTGTTAAATTTAACGTTTCATACAATTCTATGCATAACAAATATTGATTTACCTTTTGGTGAATAGGTTGTTTTTATTATGCACGTCGGCGGTCACCAAAATGTTGTGGGGTCTCACTCACAATATACCAGCAGAAATCAGGTTCGTGTTCACGGAGATAAACGCATACTTGACAGAAAATAAAACGTACAGAAATAACAATAGCGAATAGCGTACAGAAAAGCATAATAAATTGTATGTTACTTTTATTTATATTTATTTATATTTTTTGTGTACTGGTGTGTGTATTTTTAGGTTAGTTATTTTATGGTACATGTGATAAAAAGGAAGGGTTTTTTTTTTGTAGTATTACAAGCCATATCACAAAGAGAAGTTGGACATATGTTGCACGTACCAAGGTTCGAATCAAAAAAGCGAAAATGGATGACGAATTTTTTTTTCTTTTTCTATTGAGAGTCAAAAGGGTTTATTAGATACAACAACGGTGAAATACTGGTTGAATGAAGTCAGGCTTCCACAAAACGGAAATAGTCGTATGTGACAAGTCACCGAATTTATTTTGATGAACACAAAAAAGTGATTATTTTGAAGACCCCTCTCACGGTCCGCATAGGGCTGTCGGGGATATTTTGTGCATGTCTCTGCCTTTGCTCACCACTCCAGTCTGCATTCCCGGCTACTAAAGAAAGTGAATGAAAAAAGGCGAGACATCCATTTCTACCTAGGATAAAAAATAAAATAAATAAAAAGATAACTAAAAAAAAAAACACAGTTGAATTGGCTAGATGTAACCGTAAGTTCCATCTTTCGCACTTCTCACTTGTGGAACTCTCTTCCGGTTTCTTGCTGTCCAGTCAATTTGATCTTCAAAAGTTTTTTTTTTTTTCTGTCTTCTTAGTTCTTGTTCTTTTATTTCTCTTTCCCCTTAATAATGTTTTTTTTTCTCAAATTCTCTCACTCAGTAACCCCTTGCGTCTTATTGGCTTTATTGCCTTGTTTGCGGTTAAATGATTTAAAAAATAATTTTTAAAAATTACAAGTAAATATAGTAGAAAACTACTTGAAATGTATGAAGTAATTCATTATTTTTTTTCATGTTTCACATAAAAATTCCATAATATAAAGAGAATTTATATAAAATAACGCATTCTGTAACTATAAAAACATAATAATTGTTTATTTTGCAAGTACCAGAAGAATTTATCTCACTCCAGGAAAGTTATGTGAATAAAAGATATTCCAAATAAATGATTAATTTTGTAATTATTCGTTTTACTCATCAGATCCAACCACTGAAAGCAAGGTTGCTGAATTTTTGCTAACATTGACAATGCATGAATATCATAGATTTTATTTGAAAAATCGCAAGAGAAAACCTATTTTTTAAAACCGATTTTATCAAGCAAGACAAACGAATAAGTATACTTAGCTAAAGAATGCCACTTAGTGATAATCAAACTCACTGACAAGTTTGCTAACCATGACGCTACTGACACGCAGGTATTTACCAATCCTACCTTGGTCTGACACGAAGTCACAGATTATGGTATCCTGTCGTCACTCCCACATTTTTTAAAACAATTGGAAGAAAAAAGCTTAACCAGCGTTGTTATAAGGAGTGGTTCATGATATAAAGAAGGCCTCAAAAGCAATCCAAAAATGCTTTCCGCGGCTCTCAGTTGCGTCTCTGTCTTCGGGCAGAGTGCGACTCAATTGTGGGGAACGACTGCCCGATGTTTCACCCGAGAGGGGGATCGTTGTCGCAACCGATGGTCGAGTGGGCTTGGGGAATTTTTGTACCTGACCCGAGTGTAGACGTCCTGGTTCCCCACGTTAAGTCTGACCTAGTGTCGCATCCTGTCTCAGTTTACATAGGTAAATAACTGCATTCCGCGGCCCAGAGACTATGATCAAAGTGGAGTATCTGTTCTGCGGACATGACAATATTTGTGCCCGATTCCGCGTAAGCAGGGGCTGGGTAAATGTTGACCAATGACCCGAGTGTACGCGCTCGTCTTCCCCACTTAACTGATCTCGTGTCGCATCTCGTCTCGATGGGTAAATAGCTGTGTTCCTCGGCTCAGATGTCTAGGATCAAAGTGTAGTATCTGTTGCAGCAGCCAACCGCCTGCCCACATGTCCTGGCTATCAGCAGCAGCTCCAGCTAACCAGTCATCATCAGCTTGTCATCGACCGTCGCTCCAACCATCTACAGCTCCTGCCGCTCCAGCCATCCTTGCAAACGATATGCAATCAAACTATCCTTTTCAGGACAACGCCCTCTAGCGATCACGGAACTGTCCTTCTCAGTACAACGCTATTTCTCATCCTCTACATTATTTTTGTTTATGTATTTTTCTTTAAACAAAAATAAACTTGTAATATTTATTTTTACTCAAGTTTCATTTGTTGGTGTCTTCCGTCATTTGATATCTGCCAATATGTCACCCGCAACACGAATGGTCAATCAATAATAATATCCGTATCTTGACTTGTGCAATTTATGCTTACAGTCTCTTCAAATAAATGTTTATTTCCTATGACGAGACAAAAAAAGAAAGATGCCAAATATTCTTTATAACAAAACGTGCAAAGGTAGCTTAGTCAGGAAAACTCACCAATGAAGTTGGAGGGGAATGCAGGTCTACGGGTTTGCACCGAAACAAGGGTGAGGTTGAGAACTTTTGAAGAAATTGAATTTAACATTTTCAGAAGGAATACATTTCAAAAAGTGGAGGAATTTTACTTATATCTTCTTACGAATATAAAGAATAACAACTTAGAAAGAGTTACGATAAAAAATTATTTTAATCAAATTTAAGGCCTTTTTTCATGGTATGCTATTTTTTTATCGATCTCGTGAACATACCTAAGTTAAATTGTGTGTCCATAGACCGCTGAAAAGGAAGAAAAAACCACTTAAATTTTTAGCTTAGAAGTGTGTGTGTGTGTGTGTGTGTATGTATGTGTGTGTGTGTGTGTGTGTGTGTGTGTTAGTTAGTTAGTTAGTTTGTTTGTTTGTTTGTTTGTTTCCATTTTCATGTGTAACTATTTCAACTTCTACCCGGGTTTTGGTAAAGAGGCAAATGACTTTGAAACCTAAGTGTTAACGTTCTGATGTCCGGGACATTTCTTTATGTTGTAGGAGACAGTCTGGAAAAAAGAATGAGTCACTCCGTAGAAAGTCTTTGATGTCATTTTTTTTATTAGATATGTATGTGTGTATGAGTGTCAGTAAGAAAGAGAGAGAGAGAATATAAAAGCAATCTTTAGATATTGGTGTGGGGGAAGAAAGGTTTGAAATTTTTGTTTTCATGACAAATTGTTATTGCTGAATGAATAAATAAACCAATGTTTTCTTCTTAATTTACTGACAATTTACTTTTGTACGCAATTTTGCCATTATTATTATCATCATTTCAAGAAAGTTATTAAAAAATAAATGAAATCTTTACGGGTAATAACTTCTAGGTAATAACTTCCGTTGGATTTTTTCGCCTATTTCCCCTCAATATTCGTCCAAATGTTGAATAAATTAATTCTTGGTCTGAAATGATACTTTTTTGTCCTAAAATAAAATTCTAGTTTACTTTTTAACGTGTATAGATTGTTTTGTTTAAAATTTTCTTAAAATTAAGAAAATGGCCGCTTTTAAGAAAATTTTCTTAAATCGGATAAGTTGAGATTCCGATCTATATAATTTTTATTTAAAATACAACAGAATATTTTACTAACTGGAAATAGTAAATTTAATCATTTAGCTTTCAATTAATGCTAAAATGAAATCTTCAATGATGCTTTTTCATTTTGAAATTGTAGGAGGAAGACCATCACAGCTTGAAAGACGGAAATTTCGAAAAACGACTATTACTAAACTTAAACTCCAATTTATGATAAAATAAAATTTGTAAAACTAAATTTGCTGTTTGTTGAGGTAATTCTTTTGGAGTTAGGAATGACATATGCCTTAAAGGGAATTTAGGTAAAAATGGCAGGGTAAAAATGGCAACGGTAAAAATGGATAAATAAGAAAAATATGGAAAAAGGAAAAAAATATAGATGAATATCTCACAATGAGTTTATTAAAATCTTGGATACAATACATAATGGAAAAACATGAGAAGTTTGTCAACTTAAAAAGAATATTCAGCTAAAGCTCCCCCCCCCCATGAGATTTTACTTTTTAGGCGATTACGTCTGAATACACTGAAAAACTTCGGAAAAAACAATTATAGGTCCACTTGATGAAACCGATAAAAAAACCCAATAAAACATTAATTATTTCAGAGGTTATCAGACAACGACAGGGTCAGACTGGTGCCAGTAAAATTTAAAATCTTGTCTGATGCGTTTTCAATCTTTTAATACTCAAGTGTGAAGTCTCTGAGATGCGTCATATAGACATTTAGCAAATAGGTGTCAACAGAAATTCAAAAGGTTTGTTGAGGAATAGGCTAAGTGAACTGTAGAATATTTACTTCGTTTACCATAATTTACCAATAAAATAATGAAATTAGACTGAGAGTCAATACGAAATCTGTGAATGGGATTCCTAACCTTTGCCATTTTTCCGATTCCCCGATTCCGATTATTCAACCCACACTAATATATATATATACATATATGTATGTAGACACTAATACACTTATTATATATATATATATATATATATATAAACACTAATAATTAGTTTTTATATATAAAAAAAACACTAATAATTAGTTTTTATATATAAAAACACTAATAATTAGTTTTTATATATATATAAAAACACTAATAATTAGTTTTATATATATATAAAAACACTAATAATTAGTTTTTATATATATATAAAATACTAATAATTAGTTTTTATATATATATATAAAAACACTAATTAGTTTTTATATATATATAAAGACTAATACTTATTTTATATATATATATCTATCTAAACATAATACACTTATTTTTATATATATATATATATCTCTAAACACTAATACACTTATTTTTATATATATATATATATATCTAAACACTAATACACTCATTTTTATATATAAACACTAATTTATATTTATATATATTTATATATATATATATATATATATATATATATAAAATGAGTGTATTAGTGTTTATATATATATATAAAATGATTAGTGTTTAGTGTTTATATATATATATATAAAATGAGTGTATTAGTGTTTATATATATATATATATATATATAAAATAAGTGTATTAGTGTTTATATATATATATATATATATATAAAATAAGTGTATTAGTGTTTTTATATATATATATATCTAATCCTAATGTCAGCTATCAATTATAAAATTAATTATAGTCATCAAATTCACTTAAACACGCTACGATTTGTGCTTTTACTGCAATTAGGTGTAGGAACCTAGCGCCCCCCGATAAAAACTTCTAAAAAATCGACATCGAAAATTTTTAAAAAATGTTTTTAATATTAGGTGCAGGAACTTAGCCCCTATTTAAAACAAGAGGAGAAGGAGCCTAGCTCCCTCCCCCACTAGAGAAAATATTTATTTTAAAATATTGAGGTGGGAGGGGACTTAGCCCTATTTTCAACTAGAGGGATGGGAGGTTAGACCCATCCTTCTCGAACGGTCATAATTTTCTGTTGTCGAATTGCTATTTTTTCCTATTTATCCACTTTTGCCATTTTTACCGTTGCCATTTTTTCCGCTGCCATTTTACCAAGGAATTTCGGTATGTTTTTATGGGTAAATAAGGTATGCTGACAGGCAAAATGTTGGTGCTTATTAAATCTGAGTATCGAAATATCTCATACCCAGCTTATTAATTGCAAAAATGTCCGACATTTATGAAAGAAGAAGGTAGATTTTAAGAACTATGGAGTGCCGAAAAAAGAAAGAGCCACTTTTTTTTTTTTTTTTTTTTTTTTTTTAAGTGGAGTTGGAGCGGCTCCTTTTTGAAAACGAGGAGTGTGGGGTGGGGAGCCAGCTCAAATTTGGGGTATGGGAGTTGGAGTAGTTCCAAAAATAGTGGAGCGTGTAAAGCTCTGGTAACACTTTAAAACGTACAACACATTACTGGTTTTATAATGAGTAGCAATGGAAATTTTCTTTTGAATTCTTCAAAACCCTCAGCTGTGTTTATTAAAACATTGAATTTGTTACAACTGTACTTAAATGAAATAATCTTAGTCTGTCTATATTTCTGAGATGAGGTATTATGTACATTATTTACAGTATTCGGACTATTGTCCTCATCTTTGTCACCATATTTATCACAACGTTTCGGCCGTTGTACGCTCCGGCCTTCTTCAGGTGGTTGGAATTTTGAACTGAACCCTTTATTTCGCTCACTGGGGTAGACTGTTCTAGTTCCACGTGCCATGTTTGATGGATGTCAGTTATCTCCTGCTAATTTCCCACTGTTCTCCACTGCCTTAACCAGGTATTGAATTCACACTCTTTGGGTCCTGTCACTGGATCAACGCCTTTATCCACTGTGCCATGTGTCCTTGAGGACATCGGTGTATGAATTTCTGGGTATTATAAACCTAATGTCCCGGAGAAGAAGGCCGGAGCGTACAACGGCCGAAACGTTGTGATAAATATGGCGACAAAGATGAGGACAATAGTCCGAATACTGGAAATAATCTTATTTTCCATTTTATAGAACATTTATTTCTCTAAAAATGTCCAAACATAAATATACGTGTAACAGCTTTTTAAATAAAAGTTTAGAAAATTTTATTTTAACAGAATCAGTTGATTAAATTACTATATGACAACTTCCTACACTTGTTCATCCTTATTGCAAAATACATTGTTAGGCTTATATTAAAATTCAAATATTTAGAACTTACAAATACAGGTATATTAGATGCATAGATTGCACTCACAAAAACGGTGTGACGGATCAGACATAAAACTTACAAAACGGAAACTCCATGTCTCTTAATCCAGAAGCAACTTCCTTCTTTTATAATGAAATAATTTTTCAAAAAAAAATCGATGCACTTTCGTATAGATCAAGTGATCGTTCGCTAAACAAAATGACATTGAAGCCAATGTGCTTTATTGGCAGAGGTAGCGTTCCGTTTATGGGCGCGCGGATGCATTGTTGAGTTACGTCCTGTCAAAAACCACAATCTTTAACCCTGTCCTATGTACTATATGTGATGCACAGGACAGTTTGGATAATACATTAGTACACACGAAAATGGCCTGGACATTAAAGGGTTAAAAAGCAATACAAAGTTTTCACTCCAGCGTCTAAAATACTAATCCCAAATCAACTTGAGGCTTACTAACGAATTTGTTAACAGCTCCACAAAAATCAATTTAAAATCTAATAAACTAAATATATTTTTCAGCCAACGAGAAGCCAAAATAGACAATAATTTCAAAGACTGTGACAGCCGATATTAACCTCTCAGAGACAATATAAACGAAAGTTTTTTTTATAAAAGTTTTTTTTTTTAAACATGTGTATAAGTCTACCATTTGCCCATGCTTAGAATATTGCTGCCACATATGGTCCAGTGCCCCTGCTATTTACCTTGACCTTCTTGATAAAATTGAAAGAAGAATCAGCAATATTATTGGTCCTGATCTGGTGGCTCGACTTCAGTCACTTTCCCACCGGCTTAAGGTTGCCTCCATGTGTCTTTTTATAAATACTTGCATAGTAATTATTTGGATAAGCTCTTCGCTATGGTACCTAGACTTTTTGAATGTAAGACTAGCGTTGAGATTTCATCAATTTACAGTAGAGCTGGTTAGATTTAACTGTAAATTCTATGCTAACAGTTTCTTTTTTTCACACTTCTGGTTTGTGGAACTCCCTTCTGGCTCTATGCTTTCCGGCCAATTTTAATCTGTAAAAATTTAAATGTAATGTCAATCGCTATCTAGTGTCCTCCTGATTACTCTTTCCTCTTCCTGCTCATTATTAATGTTTCTGTTCCTAATTTTTCCACAACCTGTAACCCCTTATGTCTTAGTGGCTTTACTGCCTTGCATGGGGGTGATACCGATAAAAGAAAAAGTAATAATATGACTCATTTATAATTTATTAATGTTAAGTGTTTTTTTTTTTTTTAGAACTCCTAAAACGATCTATTTTTGATTGCTTTCCAATCTACAAAGATATATAAAGTTTAAAATGGACTTTATTTATATATCTGATTCTACAGATTTTCCTTGTTAGATCCACGGGCAGCATTTTGATGCAAAGCAAACCAAATAAATTCAAGATCAAACCTAATACAAAAAATGAATGAGTATTCAGGCAATTTTTTTGAGAACTGAGATGAAAAAAGATGTTCAATTGATTTTTCACAATGAAATACGTTGGCTTAGCAATTATAGCTTGATTTTGAGAGCAAATCAAATTTTAATGAAAGCAGATGTCCACAATTTTGGCAAAACAAAAAAAAATCCCAAGATTTATCTACATTTATGAAGAAGAAACTGTAGACAAAAGAAAGATGTGGTTCTACAGATTGATTGATTGATTGATATGTTTTCTACGATTTATCAACCTTTTGCAGGTTATTTAAAGTCAGAAATTAATTTTTGGAGTATAGGAATAGGTGGGGGAGATAATTACGGGTTTAGTGATACAAGTCTTAAAAATTAACCAATGGCTAGCGGAGAAGAGATGGATTTATACATTTCTCAAGGATATTTTCGTGTAAGTGAATATAACAAACACAATAGGAATTGGAACTCTGCTCTCCAACTAATAATTCAGAGTCATTATCCATTACACTAGCCACCCATCCAAGTTTACAGCATCTGTTATTCCCAAGCAGTTACCCATCCAGGTACTGACCAGGATCAACCTTACTTAACTTCAGTGATTGTATGGGAACCAGTGTTTCAACGCGATGTGGCTCTAAGCCTTGCTTCTACAGAAGGATGCTGAGAATACCATGGATTAGCATATAAGCAATGAGGAAGTTTTAAGAAAAATGAAAAAAGGACATTTTTACTTAAAATCAAAGAGACACTGGAAATTTCTAGGATACGTAATTGGATATTGAAGGCAAACAGATGGAAAGCTATCTAACAAGTTTGTGTACATGAATGGCAGAGTGTCAGTGATAGTAAAATGACAGATATTATTAAGAGCTACAAAAAAATATGAAGTTGTGGGACCGTAATTGTTTATATCCTGAAGAGACAAGGCCCATAAAAGGTTAAATAAGACCTACCCATTAACAGCTTTCACTGCCTCATATTTAGTTGGAAAAGGATTTAATCTACAGGATTCTTACTGAGGAAAATTATATGAATGTAACAGGGGGAGGAATTCTGTTTCTCAGTGCAGTAAAATAAAACTAAATATAAAGGATTTAGTTAACAAGTATCAACTACAATAATCTCATTGAAAACTAAGTATTAATTATTATATGTTTCAAAAAAAAAAAAAAAAAAAAAATCTTTATTTCATTTTAGACCTTGAGGTAGCCCAAGATTTCAATAGGTCTATTGCTAGAGATCAATGGTGATAAAAACAATTACAAATTTATTTAATTACTAATTTTATCAGTTTTTGCTCAGCTGTGAAAATATCTTAAAATTTGATGTTAGGTGGCAGTAATATGGTTTAAACTCATTAAAATATGCCAAAGAGCATATTTAAAGTGAGCAAAAAAGATTGAATATCTCTGATCTAGATAAAAGTATTAAAAAAAAAGAAAATCAACAAAAATACTCAAGAAGAATGCTAGAAATTTTGCTGTCATTTGATCTCTTTCAAAAGTGACACCAGATACTCTGACTATAAAAGTCTCAACTAGTTCAAAAAAACATTAAACTGTAGCAGCAATAGTAACAGATTTGAAACTTTTCACAATGTAAATTTTACACATTGGTTTATTAAGAACCTATCACTTAGCCACCAAAATTATTTTTCTGTTTCTTTGAATATTGCAATATCACTTAAGATGTATTTTTCTACTATATACAATCCCTTTATTAACTAATGGACTAGTCATACATAGAAATAAATTCAACCATAATTTTGATTTTAAAAATGCTACACTCATAAAAAAAAAGAAAATAACTCACTCAGAAGGAAAAATCCTCAAGAGTGCCACCATTGAATATTATCCAAATATTAATCTACGCACAGGCTTTTTCCCTATTTCACCTTTCCGAACAGACTACTCTCCCAAGCAAATGTACACAACTGTATCACGAAATCAAAAGAAAATGTTTGAATCTGTCAACACAACAACAAAAACAATATTTCCACACGTGACAGTACTTGACATAATTTTCAGTTGACAATATGAATATAATAGTTTTCTAAATTCTTCCAGTTGCTAAGGACATTTTGTTTTGTTATTAGTAGTTACTTTGTTTTAATAAATTCATTTCGTTTTTGCCTTGAAAATGTCCACATTGGACGAAACGCGTCTGCTAATATTAGTTTTCTATTGTCTTTATATATATATATATATATATATATATATATATTTGATATTCTGTAACTCCACCTTTTCAAGCATAAAGAGATATTTATGCTTGTGTTTCTTATCTCTAGCACCATCATCTGTACCTCCTGCTCTCTTGAGTAGCATCATGAATGGCTAAATATGTAGCTATAAGAAATGAGCAAGACCATATCAACAAAACATTCTGCTGCTGTGGAAAGTTGTAAACAACATGTAGTGTTGCCCACCAACAAACTAATGGCAGTTGATTCACAAAAGTACCAGACTATGAGTATTACCAGACAACAGAGTGCCAGATTAAAGAGGTCAGACTGTACTTTCCTTGTCAATCAGGGTAAAAAGGAACATCTTCCCAGGTAATACTATTCTCATCACACGAAGAAGTTGCAGTTAAAGTCAATCCCTAATGCACAGGCCAGTGTCAAAGGAGATTGGATAATATTTGTTTCTATTCCCACATATGCATGGTAGGAAGAGTCCCTCATTAAATGAACCATGTCTTAAATTTGCCCTCACTTGTAGTAAGCAAATACAACATTGCTTAACTTTGATCAGACATGCATGCCCATAAAAATCTTTATATTTGAATTTGCTTAGTCAGTTTCCTTGTAATCACATCTAATTGATGCCCAAATTTTCTGATCTAAATGGTGATTTTCTAAACATAGCTTAAATGTGACACAAGGCCAAAAGTATGGGGCACCCAGTGAAAATCAAACTCAATACTCAGCTGTAATTGATCTAGCAAGACAAGCTTGCTAACCATTACACCATGTCAAGGTGCACAAAATGATTTTCTAAGTATAACTTAGATATGGCACAAGGCTGAAAGCATGGGGCACCCAGTGATGATCAAACTCACTATTCAGTCATAACTGAACTAGCAGGACAAGCTTGCTAACCATTACACAATGTCAAAATGCCTATTTTCTGGTCTAAATGGTTGAATGAAAGCAGATAGGTGACAGAAGAAATATTTAGTTGGTGAAGATTTAGAGATATCAAGAGAAGAGTTCATTAATTAATTATTGATGTAGATTCTGTGAAACACTGATGAATTATAAACGCATCAATCTTAATGATTTGAAATAGATTTTCTCTTAAAATGATGAATTGTCCATTTCATTTATGCAAAAAATTTACCTCTTTTCTAAATTTTGCTTGTAACATTAACATGATTGGGCAAATATATTGAAATTAAACCAATAAAATCATTTTAAATTTGGATTATAAACTGCCTATCTTGTTTTAGAGCATGAAGTCAAATTTCCATGTGATTTATCTTGTCATATTATCACAAATGTAAAGATAAGAGAAAACCAGTTTGATGATTTGTCCATGTTTCATACCCATTAATCTCATATAAGAATTAAATTCTACATATCTAGAAAAATATGACAAACTGGAAAATTTCTTGTGACAGGTTTCATCCATGATTTCATCAGACTGGGCTTTGTTAATGTTGCCACATCTACACATGCACATGAAAATGAGAGATGCAGGTACTTTCAAAATTTTTTTGTTTCAATCTAGCTAGATTCATTGGTATTTTTTTTTCTTTTTCAAACAAAGCCCAGTCTGATGAAATCATAACAGATGAAATGCATCACAAGAAATTTTCCAGTTTATCATATTTTTCTAAATACTGTTGATATATAAAATTATACAAAATTATATATCATTATATCTATATATATTTTTCAACCAATTAAATCCCATCAGAAGGACTGTTGGATAAACAATCATTGCAAGAGAAAATACTGCCAAAATGCCTGCAGATGTAGTTGTAGACCTACCATGTGTTATTTTTGGATCATTTAGAAAATAACAATAACTCCTTTCATCACTCCCGTAAATTCAAGAAAAAGATTCTTGTGAGCCAGTGGGAAATTATTTTCTAACTAATGAAAACCTCTATGTGAAATTAGATTTTAAATCCCCTTACATATATAAAAATAGAAGTATACTGCTTCTCAAGGCTCCCAACAATTTCAGGGGCTAGTTTGATCTACATGTGCATACATACACACACAATAGAAGAGAGACAGTCAGCAGCCACTGAAAAACGGCCTTGTTCCCATGCACAATAAATGGGATTAACCAGCAACTTCTAAGCCTTTTGTCTACGAACTCAAAACACATTCGGCTGACTATCATGAAATAAGTTTGTTCACTGAGCACTAAGAACAGTTAATTACTTGATAAAACAAACCTCACTGCAAAAAATTGAACATTTTATTGTCATTGTATATCTTTGAAAAGAATTTATAAATGTTATTTCAACTGACGTTCTGCTTCTACTTTTTCTCCAGAAAATAAGCTTTCATATGTTTCATTTAAATGTGCTATTGTTATTGTAGTTAAAGGTTTGGAATCTTGACACTCAGATAGCAACAAAAAACTATATAGATGGATCCCAACACTAATGCATAAGCATGACTTGATCCCCAAAGAGAATTAACATTACATTGTGAAAAGAGAGGCAATACATTAAAGTGCATACAAAATTTATTATCATCTAAATTATATAACACCCTATATAGTTCTTTGAAATTAAGTTTTATTATGAATGTAAAACAAAAAGAATAATGCATGAACAATTCACTCATCTAAGGACAAAGTTAAATTTCACAATATTTTACTAGGAAATCCTAAGTGATTAAAACTTAGTTTCTCAACAAATAAAGTTCTAAAAGAAATAAATAAAATTTTAAATAAGACAAAAGAAAGCAACTTCTTTTGTTTTTTGTTTTTTTATATTAATAAGAATGTCTTATTTTCTTTTGTCATATTTATCGATACTTTTGCTGCAAAATCATTACATACAAAAATATGGAACCACATGTGTTAAACATGTTGTTGTGAAGGAGTTAAACAACTCAGTAGAGATAGCTTCATTTACTGTTTGCTGCCATTTTATACTCCAAATAACTCTTGACAAGATAACATCTCATTACAGAGGGTACCAAATGCTTTGTCTTGACTAAATATCTTCTTGTAAGCATTTTGGCAAATCACTCCATATCTCACCTATCCATCCTGTACTCATAATAATTGTGTTACCCTATTATCAAATTTGATAAAGATGTACAGGTCAGTAAACAATATAAAATGAACAAACAACAAATACAAACCAAGAAAGATTATTTTTAATGGAATGTATGAAAGAAGAGATAAAAGAAAAAACTGAAAATATGTATTCTGAAAATGTAATATTGTATACAACGTTTTCTTTTTTGTGGTATGTATCTTTTGTTGTTTTGGTGGCTGAGTTTAAAAATAAAATAAATGAATTTTGATATCATGTTAGTCTTTGAAAAAAGTTTGAAATCATGAATAAATCAAATAAAACTGATTACACAAATGCCATTAATCCAAATGTACAACGCCCTTTTTATTTTAGTCTGCTCTCCAATTTCTTTGAAGGAAAAATTAAATACTGATAATTATTGGTTCTAGTGATGAATTATCACATGTTTAATTCAATTAATAATTTTGTAATTTTAGTATACATAAAAATGCTATCACCAGTATTAATACTGTTTAAAAGTTTAAAATCAAAATATTAAAGTAGTACTACTGTAAATATTATCAATAACACTAATTAAAAATTAGAATTAAAATGTTTTAGAAATATACTTGTCAACTTTGATAATTTAGCAATTTTGAGTTATCAAATATTATTTATGTACTGATAATTATTACCATTGTCAATATTAATGTTTATTTTTATTATTAATACCAGTAATTTATAATTATATTATAATAATTCTTTATATGAATATTGCCATCATATTAATTATGATTAATATTATCTTTATCACCAATTTATATTATTAGTATTATTAATTATATTAACAGTCACCATCGTTCACCAGGTTACTGTTCATTAATAAGAGTTCAGGGTAAAGTTCTAAAATAACTAGAAAAACATTTTATTAAATTACAATCAGTAATCCAAACATACATAATCTTACAAAAATTTGTTTCAAGTGAAGTTAGTAACCCTAGAAAATTGTGAAATTGTTGATAACCAAAATAACATTTATGATAATATATCAAGTGAAAATTGTATATGTTGTGAAAATAATTAAATAACTCTTTCAAGTCCCATGTATTGCCGATGTGATTTTCGACCAATAAAGAGATTAAAAATGTATGACCCCCAGTGAAGGTTGATATTTTTGCGGTTCTTACTGTAGATATTCAACATAATACCCAATATCACAATAAATCCAGACCACACATAACTGAAAATAAATAAATAAATAATGTTAAATACTTAAAGAGAAATCACATGTCAATACAATATTTAACAATTCTCTTTTTAATATTTCCTACAAGAGATGAATGTATGCTTTGGAGCATTTTATAATAAAACTACCAGATGAAAATAAAAATGCTTTACTGTGGCATAAACAAATATAGTAGTAATCATCAGGGCCGGTGTGTATTACCCACAAAACCCCCAATGGTGTGGGGAGGGTCGTTTTGGGGCCCCTTTGTGGCCTCTGCCATATTTTTTCATCATTGTTTTATGACCATTTGCCATTTTTTTAAAACTGATGTTACATTGTCAATATTATACATCATGTATCTGCATGGCTGGTGTGTAGCATACTACGCAGGAACCCCCAATGAGGTTGGAGCCCAAAAGGGCTAGTTTCAGCAATGCTTTTTTTTGCTTTTTGTACTTTTTACTTTTCTACCTTTATATTGTCAATCATCAACTATAATAATCAATAGAGCTGGTGTTTACTACCCAAAACTTCTCAACCACTTGGGGGCTCCATGCCTACTGGGGAGGGGGGTGCAGAAGTGCTAATTTCAGTAGCACTTATTTTTTTAAATTGTAATTTTTTGTGAACAGTTCTTTTAAATCAATTAAGAAAGTAATATATCTCTGTAAAATCATATTTTATTCCGAGATCATCCACTAAGTAGGATCTTTGATTTTTTTCTTTTTTTTTTTTTCTAACCAGAAGTCCACAGCTAGTAAATAAAATACAATTTCTAATCCCTATTTTTTACATTTCTAGAAAGATGAAACCAAGAAAATGACCGCTTAAAAAATAAAAATGTCTAAAGATTTCAACACATGAAAAAATTTCCAAAAAAATGAAATACTGTTTTTAAAACAAATTTTTAAGACAATCCCATTTGTGTTGGAATCTTTATAAGACTTTTTTTTTTTCAGTGGAAATGTGTCAGCAATTAATCTTTGTGGAAATGAAGAAATTTGCAGCTTAAACATTTTTTTCAAATAGAATTTAGTCATGAAAATATTGGTGGTTATTACAAAAAGAATCAAATTTTCTCAGATTTTTTTAAAATAAAAAAACCTATTCATTATAAAAGTAAATAATGAATATGTACTGAAATTTTCATTTAAATTGATAATTCCCTGATTTTTTTTAATTTAAAAAAAAAATGTTGCCCTTCCTCCTTCCCCACTAATTTTACTTCAAAGGTTTGGAAAACTTTGAAATCAACATGTAGTAGAAAACAGGGGGATGTATCAAAGTTTCATGAGTGGGGGTGAGACCCTAACACTGGCCCTGGTAATTAAAGTTAAACATGACAGCAATTAAATGTCCCAATTGTGTAGAAGGAAGTGACAAGACAGAAAAAAAAATTAAATTTAACAGCAACTGTCAAATTTTAGTTGTTTGAGGGCAAAAATTAAAAAATAAGTCATAAATAACATCTACAAAAGGGAAGAACTTTGAAGGGACAAGAAATAATTATTTAATAAAGATATTTTTTAATTAAAATCTAGAATTTACAAATAAAGGCTCATTAAAAGACACCAAGGTGAACAAAGATATAGCATTTAGAAATAATTTGTCATTGTTTAAGAAGAGAACAATTTAAACATCATAAAAGTAGAAAAGAGTTACTCACTGAATAGTAAATGGCTTTGTAAAAAATATGAAAGAGAGGATTATGGTTATTGCTTTCCTACATGTTGTCACTGAAAGCAAAATGAATAATAATTGGTCACAATTTGGAATATTTAGCACAAAATTTCTAACAAAGTGATAATCAAAATTTTACAAATCCCAAAATGTTTAACTGCATTTTCACATTTTAAATAGTTTTACAGTTTTTACATTTTAAGTTATTGTTAATACTCAAATTCTAATGATTAGACAAATGTTCATAGACAATTTCATTATCTAAATTTCATTTTAATTTTTGACACAAGATTGAGGACATTTAAAATGTGGACTGTTATTTACTGCAATACAATTGAACCTCTAATCCGTTACTCCATGGTCTGTCAACTCCCATGGTCATACACTTCTTGAATCAGCCACCATTAATTTATTGAGTGACTACAAGGGCATTGCCACACATTGCTTACAACTTTCTGCATTAGTCGAGAGCAGCAGAGTGTTTTGGTGATGCGTTCTAGCTCATTTCTTATATATAGATGTTGATTTAACCATTCAGGATGCCCTTAACTAAAAGAACAGGATGTGCATATGATGCTGCCAGAAGTAAGAAGCATAAGCATAAATCTTTATTTATGCTTGAAAAAGTGGAGTTACTGAAGAAATGAGAGAAAGGAACATCTGTAAAGACTTTATGGCATAGGATCATCTAAAGTGCAGGACTTAAAGAAACAAAAGATGCAGATTTTTAAGTTTATTTTCTAAAAACGAAATCCAGAAAATTTTGAAGTTTTGGAAAACATTGAAACATGTCAGGAGTTTAAAATTAGTGTGCTTATAAAATGATTTAAGCTCCAACATAGCAAAGATGTAAGCATTTCAAGGAAGACACATATGTAGCAGACCAGAGTTTTTCAAAAGGAAGTATGACAGTGATTTGTAAGGATGGTTGCACAAGTTTAAGTGGAGACATGACATTTCATTTCACAGTGTAAGTGGTGAAAAGCATAGTGCTGACATGCAAATTGCAGCAAAGTTTATAGATGAATCTGCAAAGTTAGTGGCAACAGAAAAATTAGTCCCGGAACAAATGTACAACACAGATAAAACTTCCGTTTTGATGTCATATGCCATGAAAAACACTTGCCCAAGATATTGAGGAGGCTTCAGTTAGAGGCAAGGACTCCAAAGATATGATAACAGCTCTTGGCTCTCCCAATGCTGCTGAAACACTCAAAACCAAGTTGATGGTTATCGGTAAGGGTGTTAAACCAAGGACCTTTAAAAAGTTGAAATTCTTCCACTTATTTACTGTAGAAATAAGAAAAGGTGGATAACAACCAAACTTTTTCTAGAATGGTTTGAAAAACTTTGTGTGTGAGAAACCAGAGCACCCTGTAAATCTGATGGCCTTGACCAAAAATGTAAAATATTTTTGATCTTAGATAATTGTTTGGCACACCCCAAAGCTGAACTTTTGTTTAAAGACAATATTTTTGGTTTATACCACCCACCTAACTGCACCTCTGTGTTTCTGCCCTGTCACCAAGGCATACCATAGACATTGAAATCTAAATATTATGTACCATTTCATTGTTGCACTAAATAATGAGTAGCCTCCTGAAGAATTCAAGAAGGAATTTAACTTAAAGGATATGATACTGTCACTAGCTTCTGCTTGGGATAAAATCATTTGCACGAATTAAAGCATGCTACTAGATTTGCAACTAGACATTAATGTTTTATTGATGAACTCGCTAGATGCAAATATCAATTTTATTCTAATAGTTTCTTTTCTTGCACTTTTTTGCCTGTAGAACTCCCTTTCGATTCCTTGCTTCTCTGCCACCTACAATCTGTCACCATCTTCTCTCCTCCTGAATCCTGTTCCTTTATTGTCCTTTTCTCCAGTTCTCCTCACTAAAGTCTTCTCATTCACTTTCTGCAACCCCCTGCAACCTAGTCGCATTACTGCTTTGCTTGGGTTGAAATGGAAAAAAAAGACAGCAAATGGCTGATACAATCTGTGTCCAAACTTAATGTTTAAGGAAGATGAAGATAATGAACATGACTGGTAGATTTATAGTTCCAAGTCAAAAAGACCTTGGTGAGGGAATTGGCCAAGCATACTAATGTCAAACTCAAAGTGCCTTGAGATTACAGAGGAAAACAGAGAAATAATAATAATTGATAATGATAAGCCTATTAATAAACCTCAACCAAATCAAGAAATAATGAAGATGGTAAAACAAGGTGAAGAGGATGAAGAAAGTGAAGAGGAAAATGAAACCGTGGAAGAAAGAATTTCTACAGAAATATATATTTGTTGTCAAAATTCGAAGAGATTTAATTGCAGGACTGGAACAAAGGGATTTTATAACTGAACAAGAAATGTGTCTGTTTATTTGATACAAACAAAATGAAGAGAGAAGCCCAAGTACCAAGAACAAGCTACATTACAATAGTGGTTTAAGAAGGGCGTTGATAGAGAGAACACTGCTAATGCTCATTCCAGTGTAGAAAATACACTTCCCTGCATCTCGTCTACTCCTGATGTTCATGTAGGCTTACCTGCCAACCGTGAAAACCCAGTGACCTGAACATAATCTGGGCTACAGATACCTTACAGTGCTGTTTTATTTTTAGGTTTGCAGTTTTATATTGCATGAAACAATAAAAATCTTGTCTGGAAGCATACACTATTTCCTGGTTGAGCTAAACTTGCCCTATAGGCCAGTTGAGTAAGTGTATATTATTTTTTGCTTTTAGGCTTTTTATTTTAGCCTTTCTGTTGGATGAAACAATAAAAACTCTGTTTGGAGACATTAATGATAAGTTCATTTCCTTTTTTAAGCTTTGTTCTACCTCTGATAACATAATATATATGTTTTTTGGGGGTGATTTCTGTGCTCTGGCAGTGACCTTGCCCCAAGGGTGCCAGATCAAAGAGGTTGGACTGTATTAATTTTATTTATGCAATGTTACTTAACATTTCGTAAAATACATCTATTGGATGCTTTGGTACACATCATCAGTGAGGTTTCTAGCCGAGGTTCATTTGGGGTTTCAGGTCTTTCAACATCATACCCCCTCACCACAGTGACCCAGCCGATACTGATCAGGTATTGACTTGTATACCTACTATTAGCTACGATTTTTTTCCATCCTTCTGACTACACGCTGTGACTCCTCTCGGCAATTCATAGTCCAATCCCCAGATAACTACCAGTTCACCAGAATGTATGCTCTTCCATAAAAAGGAAGCAAATGCAACCACATTTTCTATCTGCTAAGAAACACTCCTTTTTTTTCCAGGTTTCCGCATTTCATCCAGGCTCCTTGTTGACTTAAGGCCACCATTTTACTGGATCTAATTTTCTCCACATTCACTTCATATTGAAGAGTGTTTCTGATCTTTTCTTTTTTCTCTCCCTCATGGATTGGAACATTTAACCTAGGCCTCAGCAGCCTACTGCTACTATTTCTACTAGCGCTTTCTGTCTCAATCTTTAACTCTGCTGTACTGAGCTCGGGCATTCCACTTCCTCCCATTTCAAACCTCAATACCTGCTTCTGCAACTCTAGGATCTTTTGAATCCCTATATAGGATTGCCACCCTGGTCTTCACCACATTAAACTCTTCAGCTAATCCTCTGAAGAGAAGTTGCAATGCGTTAGAAACTCCATATAGAGCTCCACTCCTTAAACTCCTTGGTAAGCCAAGCCATCTTCTCAAATATCTGCTCACTTTTTTCTCCAATTTCTCAACTGTCATCAATGTCACTTCATATAACATCAGTGGCCACAGAATATTCAGAATGGTATATGTTGGTATATCCATGAGTTAAAATGGACTGGCAGCCCTAACTTGTCCACTTTGCTCAACATTGCTTCGAGGTCTGAAAAAACATTTCTGGGTAGCATCAGTAGCTTTGAAGTTAGCATTTTTTCCCCAGACACTTAACTGGTTTTTCTTTTAATGACAGGATAATAGTTTCTGCAATTTTGAAATGGAACTTTCCTATCACAATTTCTCTCTTCAGTACTAATGACCTAAATTTTGTTGGCTTAAACTTCATTTGTGCCCAAGTCATTATCATTTTTAAACCTTGCAATATCCACAGACATCCAGAGACGGTGGATGTGGTAACTGTCAGGCCATCAATATATGCACAAATTCCAGGTTGTCATACTCCATTTCTCATTACTGAACCTCGACACTCAACGTCTGCTAATTTTACTGTGTTCACGGTTAAGGTAAATAATATCACTGAGATTGTACATCCAGTTATAATTCCCCTTTCTAGTTGATGCCAATCGAAAGATATCAAATCAGTGGTTATTTTTATGTTAAAATCATAATAATTCTGTATGAGATTCCTTACACAAATAGGGGAACAGATCCAGATGCATTAGCAAGGTCCAGCCACAGTACAACTAGATAACCTTTCCTTTTGCTTCTCTTAGGAGCTGCGTTATCATGCCAATATGCTCCAGACAACCTGGGATAATAGCAATCCCTCCCTTCTGTACTGAAGTGTCTATATAATTGTTGGCACCGAGATAATGCTAAAGTCATTGGGACAAGATGCAGAAAAGATTTTGTTCTCAGTGTCCAGCAAAGAAATCATTCTAAACTATTCAATTCTTTTTGAGTTTTCTTCTTTAGGAATCCATACGGCATTAGCGAACCTCCACTGTTTTGCAACTTTACCTCTTCTCCAAATTGCTTTTAATATCTTCCAGAGATGTAATTGAATATTTCGACATCTCTTATAGACACTATAAGGAACACCACTAGGTCCTTGGGCCAAAGCTGATCTAGCTGCCAATATGACTTGTTATTAATCCTTTCAAGGTCAGTGCCCTCAAGTCAAAACCTGTTTCTGGCACTTCAGGGTGCACTATTACATTGTTTCTCCTAGATTATTTCCTCTCTTAGCCACTGAGTGTTTCTCATGTGAAAGAATTTATTTCTTCCACTGTACACTCAAGATTACCATTTCTCTTGTCTCCAAGGAATCTCTTCGTAAACCCAAAAGGGTTTGAAATAAAGGCAGATCCTTTCCTAGCCCTCTCTTTTGCTTGCTTTCTGTAACTTTCTGCTCTACAAAAAATTCTAAGATTTTTCCTCAAATATATCTCAGCATTCCAAAAGAGGTGGTTTTTCCATCTCATTTGCTTGTCTCTTTAAAGATTTTAGCTCTTGTCTCAACTGGTGAATTTTCTTTTCCAAACAGCTATTTCTGAGTTCTTTCTTGTGTTCCTTTTGAACATAACCCAATCTCTCTGATGCGTAACTAATGATGATAGTCATCATTGTATATAATCTACTATCTGTGTCTCCTTTCAATATCATTCTTAAAATATCACTCACATACTGGTCAAATTGTTGCCATTATTCCTTCTGGTGTGCAGTGGGCCATTTATTTCATTTTCTGGTCCCTCTCTCAGAAGCATTTCACTTTCATAATCCAGGTGTAATCCTTGGTCAAAAGCCTTTTATCCATCCTGATGGTGATCTCATTCTCCTCCCCGCCTCTCAGGATCCCCTGGAGATATGTATTTGCTGTAAAACTCATAGCTAACAATGGTTTCTTCCTAGTGGAAGATTCAAGTAGGGGTTCTAACCAAGCTTGCCCAAAATGACATCTTTCTGAGCTGTCAACTGTCTCCAGTTTTCACCAAAACTGTTCTCTGGTTGTCATCTAGTCTTTTCCTAGAATTCTTCAGAGTTCCATTTTGTAAAATACATCTATTGGATACTTTGGTACACATCATCAATGATGTTTCTAGCCGTGGTTCATTAGGGGTTTCGCGTCTTTCAACATCATACCCCCTCTCCATGGTGACCCAGCCGATACTGATCGGGTATCAACTTATGTACCTTCCGTTAGCTACGATTTTTTCCATCCTTCTCACTACACACTGTGACTCCTCTTGGCAATTTATAGTCAATCCCAGATAACTTCCAGTTCACCACCAATGTGCACTCTTCCATAAAAAAGAAGCAAACACAACCACAGTTTCTATCTGGTAAGAAACATAGCAAACTTCTTGACTTGAAGTGGTAAATGATCATTTGTTTCCCCTCAATGAGACAAATACACACTAAAGGATCATATACTGCTTACACTTATCCCATTTCCATTTAACAATATGTAAATATAAGTTTAAGTATGATCTGAGGTACAAACAAAGAAAAAATACTAAGATGAACACAGAAAAAACATTATTTATTGCTCATAATTATTAAGTAATCAAATCTTAAATTTTTATACAACAGTGATTGTGATTGCTGTTGTTTTAATATGATATTAAAAATCACTTACCTGTGACTGCAATAAGGGCACCAAAAGATTTGACAAGGGTCAATACACTAACAAGTCCTAAGTAACCAGTGATGGAAAAGATGAATGCATAGCCATAGGTGTGAGTAGGATGCTGTACAAAAACACATATACAAATTGATTCTCTTTACTGGTTAAAACAAATATGCATAATGGCTTATCATATCAACTAAGGAATATACAAAGAGATATTTTATATCAGAATGTAAATCAACAGCTCAAAAGCAAATCAGATGATTTGCCAATTAATATAAAAAATAAAATAGAAGAAATTTGTCCATAACATAAATAAAAAACAAATACTAGACAAAATTATGTCTCAAATGCATTTTAAATGTTTAGATATTAAAACAATGTAGAAAGAAAACAGCAAAAAATATTTCAAAAATCTTTCCAGAATGTTTGCTTAACAGCATATCAACACCTTATAGGTTATTTAATGCTGAAATTTAATTTTCTTAGGAGCTTTGAAGTAATAAAAAAATATATGTTATTCTGCATTCACAATTGAATATATGGTAGATGATACACAGCTTTTGTACATATATAGGTTTGTGTCAACATAATTACAAGAGGATGTGATGTTTATGTTGATGTTATATTTTGGAATACAGTTTGATTGAAGAAAGTTCTTTCATGTTAGTTGATTTTGTTTAGCAGCATATCAACCTCTACAGGTTATTTAATGTCAAAATCTAAATATTTTGAATACATTTGTAGGCCTTCAATTACAGATAAAATTTATTGTTGGTAGTTTTTTCTATATGAAAATGTATTTCTGGTATTTTTAATATAAAAAATGTGTTTTTGTTTGGGTGTTCACTATTTGTCCAAAGCTGGGACCCTAGAAGGTGCTACCACCCCAAATCAAGTTGGACCTGGGAAGAACAACAATTAAGAGGTGGTTCCATGCCCCTCAAAATGTCCAATCTCCTGATCAGAGGATGTAGTTTATCATCATATCCAGGACTAATCTTTCTAGAAATAAATCCCTATGATAATAGTTATTAATGCAAAAAGTATTTACTTAAAAGAGTTGTTATATCTAACTATAACAGACAAAATCAATTGCATATTTTTATACATTAAAATAAAAAAAGTATAAAATAAAGAGTAAAAAATATTATTTAAATACACTTAAATGAAGATTTCAATAGTTTGTCCTGTTAGGCTATGTTCTCAATACAATTAGTAATAGAGGCAATCATCCATTTTAATTTCATCAAATTGAATTAATCTTTGCTTGCTGATTCTTTTGTGCTGTAACTTTTTAAACAGCATTTTGAAAAAAATAAAATACTTATGAATTCTACTTGATACTCTTGAGGTGCTTAATATGTTACATTTGGTATTTGTTCAGTATAATTATTAGTATATATGTATCACGCTATTACACATGTGTTTATTACATATAACATACATTTATATGCCGTCTATAAAATATAACAAGTTATTACTACATATTTAAAATGTCCACAAAATATCTAACTTTTTTTTAACTAATGTTTACTTTATACAAGGCATAAGATACACTCAAGGTAGAGGGCTACTGAAGGCAGTTGTTGTATGAGCAGTAAGTTTAGGTGGATATGTGGGGAAGATAACAGTTAACTCTGGATTTTAAGATTGTAGTGGTTGGGAAAGCATCTTCTTTGGATTCTGTTCCAAAAAGCATCAGTTATTAAGAAGAAACTATTCAAGCAGAACTTACTCCTTACTGAAGAAATACAAAGGGAATGAGCATGGTTCACCTCAATATACACAGTATGGTGGGTTTTAGCTGCGAGGGTTAGAGTTGGGGAAACTAAGGAATGTAGCTCGTTTTAACATTTTCCATGGAAATAGCAGCAGAGTAGTGAAAAGCTTGCAATGTTTTTGAAACATTATTTGAAAAACCTTTTGTAATGTGGAAACAGTTAAGCAATGATCATACTTTAGTGAACCAATGCATGTGTAAGAATTATTTTACATATGAGGCAGGATCAGTCAATTTGGTTTGGAACAAAATACTGACACGTTGGTCATTTCACTTGGTTTTTCTCATATTTATAAACTGATCTCATTTGCATATGGTGATTTTCTAAGCATAGCTTAGATGTGGCACAAGGCCGAAAGTATGGGGCACCTGATGAGGATTGAACACACTAATTCAGTCATAATTGATCTAGCAAGGCAAGCTTGCTATCCATTATACTGCATCAAAGTGCACAGACCTCATTTGCATATGCGGTTTTCATTATTGATGAAACTAGTCTGACAAAAGTTGACTATCAAGTTCTTTTATGTGCCATTTCCCTTTATGGCCCTCCTCATCTTCCTATCACTTGTAGCTCTTAATAAGTTTTGTCTTTTTGTTATTTCTCCCAAACCCTGCTCTATAGGCACCTCCACTGAATTTTCAATACCTAAGTTTTAAAATTTAATTTTAAAAAGCATTCTTGAAGATTTCATTTTAGTTTTCATTGAAAGCAAAATGATTAAATTTATTATTTCCAGTAAGTAAAATATTCTGGTGTATTTCAGATAGAAATTATATAGATTAGGATGTTAAATAATTGCTCGATTTTTTAAAATTTTTTAAAAAGCGGCCATTTTTTTTAATTTTAAGAAATTTGTAAGCAAACAAATTTATCTGTTCTAAGTCTTTCAAAATTAAATTATAGATTTGTGACATGTTATTTGAGTAAAATTACAAAATTTAAAGTTAAATTAATCTGATTTGAAATAAATATTACTTACTTATAGCATAAAAAACCAATATGCAAGCATTTCTTAACAATGGTCACCTCTTTCTTTGATCTTTGATTTATCAAGAAGCTCTCAAGGTGATGACAGCTTTTATGAATGAGCAGAAATGACAAAGATTTACAAAATCTATATGAACGCATTTTTTTTTTAGTTTTTAACTACCTAGTAATTTTTACAAATTAACATATTTTCAGCAATTATTTAATATTGACTTTTAATTAGGCTATTAAGAAGTTTTATGAAATTTGCATTTCATCTCTAGGTTCTTATGTTTACTAACTTTAAACAAAAAATTAATTAATTGAAGTATGACCCAAACTTAAATAAATACATAAAATAAAAATATTTAGTGAAATAGCAATTAAGAAAAGTAAAACTTTTTTGATATTTTGAAGGGATGATTTGTGAAGATGTTAATGACAAAACAGAACTGCTATGCTGTTTTTTATGCAACCAAATGGCAGTACTTACTGTTCTATCATCCATTTACTCAAACCCATCATATAAGTTATGAACTGCTTTCCTTCATTTCTCTTTCCCTTAGTCAGACTTGTATCAAGCCCCACTTCCTCATTATGTGCCCTAGCAAAATTTCATCCAAGTCAGTAAGAGTATTGCTACCTTTATTTTCTTTGACTTGTCATAATATTAGCTTGACTTAAGATCATTCAAAACTTCACTTTGTCCAAGACTTGTTGACATAGTAAAATGTGAGCTGCTATTGTTTTTTCCCTGTTTAGGATACTCTATTTAGACGTGACTTCATCCAAGTCCCTTAGATATGGTAGTATTCAAACCACTATTTTTCCCCCTTTATTTTGGATTACAATTACCGGTGACTGGTAGATGGTGGTTTAGCCATCTTGCTGGTACTTAACCTACCTAGAAAATGTTGGCTAGGGCTTTTTAAGGACACAACTTCAGACAACTGAAAAGTTGCAAACCCCACTTTACAGATTGTTGAAGACTTTCAAGAATCCAAGAAAGTAAGTTACAGTTGCATTCCTGTCCCCATCACACATGTTATTTAATCTTGTCTCATTAAGTTTTCATTCTCTACATAACAACAACTCCTCATAATCAGAATTTCATTTGTTTTTTAAGTTAGTGGTTACAAGGAAGTCCCTAGAGATATTTGTGATTTCACACATGCAAATCATGAGGTCAATAAAATGAGATTCCTGTCTCAGGTGTTGTTAAAATAAAAAAGGAAATAAGCAAAGGAAAAATTAGAAACATTTCCTTCTTACCTTAGAACAAAATCTGATTGCAGGGAGGAGGTTACCAGTCAACAATAAGCCAACAAATATATACACAAACCCAATAGAACAAGAATATAAAACCTGGAAAAGAAAGAAAACTTTATTAAATTCTTATTTCTCTTATAGAAATATATAAAAAGAGCTCATTACAAAACTATGCACTATTGTTACCAACCACATAACACAATTTATCTTCTGCTTAGATAATAACTAACACTTACTACTGACATTTTCAAGGCAACATCAACCTATTCTTTAATATTACTGAAATGAAGCTCCATGTTTCTAATGTTTACTCTTAAACTAAAGTGGAATTCATAATTACAAACTATTGCTAAAGAAGCTGGAAAAATGGTTGACTCACTGATCAGGCCTTGCTGTTGGATGCAGTTTAACGTCATACCCAGGAAGAGCTTTGTGTTGAGTGAAAAATAGTTTTTAAAAACAAATACCTACAAATCAAGGAGTTTACCAAAATTCTCATAAAACTGAACAAAATAAAAGAGTTTTTGTGAAAGAATAGCTTTATACTCACCATTTCAATATTACTACAATTAAACTGTTTCATAACTTTCTCTTGAACATTTCCAATCACAGCATCTGCACACAGTGCTAACATAATCACAAATATTCCTGTAAAATAAGAGAAGCATTTATTAAAACATCAAATGTTACTTTTACTTGCATTAAGTTTTCTTATTCAAAAGAACCTATATATTTTTGATATTTTACAATTACTTCTTGAAAAAATATATGCAGTACATGTTAGTATTCAATACGAAATTGCTAAGCTTGATATATTTTTTTTAATTATATAAAATTTTTAATTAAATAATATTTTATTTGATTAGTCAGTTAAAATGTTATTTTATTACCCACACAAATATGGAAAGCTTTTCAAGATTTTATACTTGGGGAAGATGAAGCTGCAAAGAATATGAATTTTAAATTTTATGAATAATGACATTAGTGAACAAACAATATGAATCAAGAATTACCAAGTACAAATCTCAGTTTAGAAAACCAGGAAAGAAATCAGTTATAATGATCAAATTAATATTAAAGATAAAAGCCTGTAGAAACTAATCCCACAACATCAGCCAGAAATTTACACCAAACTTCAATGTATTAATTGAAACCATTTCAAATCTTGGTAAGATCCACAAATGGATTCCATGTGGATTCAATAGGCCTGAAATAATCATGTTTAATAAAATTAAATTTTGGGGATTATGACATTGCTTACAATAAAAATGAGAAATGGATTTTGCATGATAACTTGAAATTTTTAGGAAGTGAAAATATCAACTATTAGGTTGAGTCATAAGTAATTTCTATTTTCGGGAATCAGTTGATAATGATGAATGTATTATCCTAACTATTAATCATATATTTAAATAAAATATAATTATACTTTATTTTGTGAAGAATAAAGTTGATAAACAAAAATGGAAAATATCTTTGATTTTAACCTAATAAACTTAAGCTATCATCTTTAGCATTTACTGTTAATCAAATAGTTTAATAAATCATCATTTTTTTTAAAAGAGCTAAACAATTAATACCCACAGATATTTAATTTAGATCAACCTGAAATAGTGAATTCAAAACTAAATAGTACTCATATCCTGCTGACATCAGTGTAAACTGATACCTTTCTCCCCATATATTGTGACCATTTTATTTAAAGTAAATATTTGCTTGATTTTTACTTTCCACAATTATAGTTTTAATTATAGTTTAGAAATATGGAAGAAAAAAGTATAAACTGATCCCAGGAGGATATGGGTTCAAAAATGAATAGAAAAATCATCAATTTGCTCAATGTTCACCCTTGTCAGGAAAAAAAAAAAAAGTTGAATCATTCAAAAATGAAGACAATATTACCTTACCTAAGTTCTTGCCTACATTATATTTCATGCATTTGGTCAACTTTCTAGCAGTTGAGAATTTCTCAAATTTAAAAAAAAATAACTAAATACATCTTCACCAAATTTATCACTTTTGTTTACAACTTTGAAAAGAGTCACTAAAATATCTAACACTGTTCAGATGCTCAAATATCACATCTTTCTATTAACCATTGTTAACACAAGGAAATCACTCTAAACAGGTTTCTTTTTTTTCTCATGTATTACACATTGAAAAAGCTTAAAAAAAATGGACTAACAACAATAAATCTACAATAGTTTAATATCTCAACAATGTTGGATATAAGTTTATCACTTGATTGATGATTTGCTGCCAAAGGAGAATATTTTAAATAAATAATTTTGATTTATTAATATTTTTCAATTTGTTTTGTTTAAATAAATTGGTAAACATCATGCGGAACAATTTATTTGATATAACAGATTTTAAAATTTCTAGAGACGTGTTAAAGTAAAATAGTTCTTGGTTCCAGTTTGAAATGATCTTCTCCTAAATGAACCAATATAGGAAAATAATAGGAAAAGTTCAGACACGATGGCCTATAAAAATATTTACTATGCAATTATATCCACCAATCTTGACAATTAAGCACATCTGAGAAAATTATTTCTTGTAGCACCATACAAGAACAGTTTTTTATTTATATGGATTATGTTGTGCTAAGTATTATTTTCTTAATAGAAAGAAAAGCAGTTTTACTGGCAAAACTGAAGTTGAAATTACTTTATGGTGAATCAATTGTCATAAAAATTATATATATTTTAATAATATATATTTATATAAAAATTAATTTAGCATAAAACTCAATTCACAGGTACTATCTCACAAATCACAATGCACACAACCAGTTAGAAAAATAACTCACTCTCTGATGAACATGGTAGCCAAAATACACCAACCCTCAATTTGAGAACACTAACTGCTTTTATCAGCCGAGCATTTTTTCCATTCATCGATGCCTGGGAGAGGACGCCCAATTTTTGCATATCAAAATACTTTTATAGCGACTCCTGCGATGGACTTGTTTTTTAATTTAAATATTTTGTCTTCAGCATGTCATGCAGAATACATGCCCTCTTTTTTGGTAAGTAATTTTCTTTTTCGCCACATTTTCCATTGTAAGATACATGTGACGCACTTGTCACTTGGTTTGACGAGGTAAGTCGCCGTTTTCTTTGCTATATTCCCCCCCCCCCGATCTCATTATCACAAATCAAACAGTTTGGAGCAGCTCTCTTTATCCTAGTGCTTCGTCATAATGAACTATCTCCTTTATGTGTGTCGGAGAGTCATCTCCTGAGGAGTCATCAGACATATCTTGAGTTTCTGGAATCTCTGCGTCTGTGGAAGCATTGAATTCGCAGATCTCAATTATCCGATCACTGTCAGACGATGAACCATCATCAGAGTCACTTTGGTGATGTATCAGAATCAATGAAAAGACGAAGATCTTTTACATGCTGTGGCATCCTGTCATCTACTATTGTTTGTGGACTTACAATGTCTGTCACGCAACACACTTGATACCTGGAGGTACACCGGCCATGGGGAGCTTTCATCCATACTCTGTTCCCAACTTTGTATATTCCATGATACTTACAACGATCACGTGGTAATGTTGTAGTAATTCCCTTCACTTTCAGTTGGTAACGGTGAATCATATTGGCAGACACATTAGTCGACGATATATCATCCTTCGGCGTGATATTATACCAGTATACTGCCTCCATTATCAAACACTACTTTCTTGCTGCAATTCTCTTTATGCTCCAATGAGATCTTTCCACTATACCGTTTCCTGCAGGAACATAGACACAGCAAAAACGAAGTTGGACTCCCCAGTCATCCAAGAACTATAAAGAGTTCTGGGATTGCAAAGGAAATATCTGTCATAGATTACTTCCACAATGCAGAGAATAAATCACTAAGTTCTTACTTACTGCTAAATGCAGTGTCATTGTTGGTTAGGATTTCTGTTGGTGGGCCTCATTCAAAAAAAAATACTTTCCAACTGTCGGATGATGCTTCTTGAGTCTTGTTGAGGTAGGCATCACCATATTGCAAATTGACTGGGGCCGCAATTAATTAACGTAAGGTTGTGTTGTCCACCATAATGCATAATATCCATTCCTAAGTGGGTCCAGATTCCAGTCACACTTAGGTTGCCACATGGCTGACGACTTGAGGCTTGGTCAATTGATTTACATTTTTTACATTTTCTAACCACTGCCCTGATAGCTGCCTTGGATATTGTAGGGTGAACTCATCTCACAAAATACAGCGTTCACCTGACGCCAGAGTGTCCACTCTGGCAATGTATGGCACGTATCTGATCAGGAGAGGTTTCATTCACCATGGAAGCGCATATTGGGTGTGTTGGTTTGAATTCGTTCTTGATCATATCATACCATTGTTGCGGTACTCTGGTGAGCTTATCCACTCAGTTCTCACTCAATGTTACTAAACTTATCGTGATCAATAAGTTATACTCTTGAATCAGCTTTTCAAGAGTACTCAACCGCCTCCAGATCAGCATCTCACTTGCCACCTTAGTCCGTATTCTGGCTTTGCCAGTGAGCATGTTTGACACCCACCGGGGCACACACGTGGAGTCCGTGAAGAGGTGTAGCCCCACTGTAATGCTAAATTGACGCCCTTCAGAATAGCATCCAATTCTGATAAATTGACATGTTGGGCATCCTTCACAAACATGCGTCTTCTACAACACTTCCGTCAACCTCCAACGAAACCCCTGTGGCGAGAGAACTTACATCGACCCATACTTCATAAGTGTGTCCGCTTGTGCACCACTGTGTCCAGGGTCATTGTGGCATATTCTTTCCACTATTTCGAAAACCATGTTCTTAAGGGGAGCATCTCTCATTTCGTCGTCCCAGCCAGACATGATCGATACTGTCCTGTATTTAACAAATAATGCAGCAACATGAAGCCACCCATACACAGAAACATGACCCACAAGTTTTCCACACCATGAGAAGACGTTAAGTCACATCAGGACCTCAGGAACTGATGGAATGCCATTTACATGTTTCCACTTAAGCATGTTGTTATCTCGGTCGACATGCAAACCCAGCACACATGTGCCATCCTGTAACCACTCCGGATCCTTGCAGGTCAAACCAAATGCAGCCAAGTGCAAGTTGCTGAAATTATGCTCTCATCAATATAAATATCATCAATATATGACGAGGTTGCCCGTCGAACTGACTCGTCTTTCGACAACATGGCGCCCACAATGGCCTTCATTATGGCAGGTGCAACATTCAACCCAAAACCCATTCGGCTCAAGCAATATCTTCGCCCCTTGAAGATTACAGTTTGAAAGGGCCAAAATGATTTATGGATATGTACCTGTAGATAGGCCTGCTGTAGGTCAAGAATAGCAACATCCGGTCCTTTTTTACGCCACTCCCTCAGTTTCTGTGCGCACATGTCAGCATTGGCTGCGTGTGCATCAAGACACTCATTCAGCTCTCGATAGTCTAATACTGGCTGCACTTTATTTTTGTTTTTCTGCACCACCGCCATCAACAGAATTAAAGTTTTTGGAGGACCAAGTTCCTTTTCAGGATAAGGCTGCAACCAACCGTTATCCAGCCAGGTTTGCAGCTCACGGTCGTATTCGTCCTTGACTCCCTTTGGTATTGGGTACTTGGGCATCCGATTTCGCAAACTCTCCA